GTGTGTGTGCGGGGGGGACAGGAGTCTCTAGGGGCTCCTGACAGGGCCGGCTGGGCAGAAACCAGTCACGTCGCAAGGGAATGACGGGAAGGCAGGGTGGGGGTGGGGAGACGCTCCCGGGAGCCCGGGTCGCTTTCTGTGCGCTTTATGAGGAACCGCTCATTCTCCAGGTAGCCATGGGGTCCCCCGGGGCCCAAGGGCGGAAAGGCCGGCCCGGCGGGACCCGACCTCAGGCCTGGAGGCCTCACTAGGAGCCCTTTGGCGCCGGCGCCCGTGGTGGCGTCGAGCTGTGAGAGGCGGGGCTTCGGCAGCGGGCGTCTGAGAGCCGGGAAGCGTCGCTTTGGCGCGAACCGGCCACGCGCCGGGCAGCCTCCCTAGGGCCAGTGTGCGCGTGCGCGGTCGGCACGAGGGGGCGGGCTTCGCAGAGGAGGCTCCGCGCCTCAGCCGCCCGCGGTCTGTCGAGCGGCAGCGCCTGTGCGGTGAAGGCGTGATCTGAGGCGGAGCGCGGCCACCATGGAGGCGGCAGGCGGCGGAGCAGGCGGTCCCGACGACGGCCGCGAGGGCCGGGAGGGCCCCGAGGGTCAGGTCGACTACCACGGCCTCGGCGGCGCGGGCGCGGAGGCCGCCGGCGCGGGCGCGGAGGCCGGCGTCCCCGGCGAAGCTCCGCGTGTCCCGCGGCCACTGCACGTCCCGGGGCCGGGCGGAGATGCCACGTCCACGACCGGAATGCAGGAAGCCCGAGTGTACATCTTGTATCCCTGGCCGGCCGGACAGCGGGGAATGGGCGGGGGGCGGGGGAGGCGGGGGGGGGCGGAGATCTGGGAGCGGGGTGGTCAAGGGTGGCTGGAGACGTGGGGGGGGAGGGGGGAGAGCAGGGGGCATAGCCGGGTTCCTGGGGGCGGGGGGCGGGCATGGGCCGCTAGCGGGGCGGGGTGGAGGGGCTGCGAGCGACTAGGGGAATGGGTGGCCTCGTCGGGCGGAGCTGAGGAGAGGACCCGGGCACTCGGCGGGTACGGGTGGTGCCTTAACCGAATCTGCACCCAGCGCGCTCTGCGTGCCTTTCATGTCCCACTTGGAGGCGGAGATCGCCTGTGCGTCCCTGGCGCCGGATCGCGAACCTCACGGAAGCGTTGTGGACAAGAAGCTCACGGTGACCGCCAGCATCCTGGCCGCGTAACTTTTGGAAGGGCCTGGGTCGGGGTGGCTGCGGGTGGCGGTTCCAGTCTCCATTGGGGGGCGCTCTGGTGGAGCCGCGAGGCTCAGGTGCGGGGAGGGGCCGGCGGGCTCTAACACCTATTCCTGCTGGGAGGCGCTCCTGGGGAGGGGAAGGATGCGCGGGGTGGGACCTGGGGGGGGCGGGGCGAAGGAGGGGAGGAGCCACCGCCTCCAACACGATTGCCTCTTCTCCTGTCTCTCAGCCGCTGGAGAGCTGAGGACCCGCGCCTCCTGCGACTTTCCATCATCAACTTCCTGGACCAGCTCTCCCTGGTGATGCGGACCATGCAGCGCTTCGGGCCCCCCGTTTCCCGCTAAGTCTGCGCTGGGGACAGGGGACGAAGATCCAGCCTCGTGTCCCCTGCCTGGGCGGGCCGTCCTTCCTGGGGCAGGGATTCCTGCAGTAGCTGCCACCTGAGGTTGGGGGCCTGCCTGATCCTTTGTGGGTACTCGCCCTTGGGCGCTCAGGGCCCCCTTGTTTTGTTTGCCATTGAAATGTTCGTTACTGCAGAAAATAAAACTGAGCTTTGTTTCCACGTTTCGCATTACTGCTGATATATTTCATCTAATGTGAACTTTTAATAAAAACTTGTCAGAAACACTGAATGTAGTGCATGAAAGATGCATTAGGGGCGCCTGCGAGGCCCAGTTGGTGAAGCGTCTGACTTTGTCTCCGGTGGTGATGTCGGGCTTCATGAGTTTGAGCCGCGTGTCAGGCTGTGTACTGACAGCTAGAGGCACAGAGCCTACTTTGGATTCTGTGTCTCCCTCTTTCCTCTGTCCCTCTCCCTGCTAGCTGTCTCTATCAAAAATAAACAAACATTTGGGGCACCTGGGTGGCTCAGTTGGTTAAGCATCCAACTTCGGCTCAGGCCATGATCTCATGGCTGGTGGGTTCGACCCATGTATCGGGCTCTGTGCTGACAGTTCAGAGCCTAGAGCTACTTTGGATTCGTTGTCTCCCTCTATGGCCCTACCCCGTTCTCTCTCTCTCTCTCTCTCAGAAATAAACATAAAAAAATTTTAATTGCCTTGTTTAGTGTTTCGTTCCTTTGGTTTCTGCAATCTCACAATGGTAAGTTTTTTATTTAAAAAAATTTTTGTTAATGTTTGACAGAGAGACAGACAGACAGACAGAGCACAAGTAGGGGAGGGGCAGAGACAGAGGGAGACAGAATCAGAAGCAGGCTCCAGGCTCCGAGCTGTCAGCACAGAGCCCAACACCGGGCTCGAATTAAGATCATGACCTGAGGGGAAGTCGGACCATCAACCAATGGAGCCACCCAGGCGCCCCTCAGCCTCCCCCTTTCTAAGTGCGCAGGCCTAGGAGTTTGGGCAAATGCAGAGTTTTGGAACCGCCACCACAGTTGCCTTGCCTCCTGGGTTGAGAAGAGGATGAGGGCAGGCAGGACAGACTTGGGGAGGCGGGCACCCAGGCGAGGGACCCCCAGGCTGGGGCCAGCGGAGGCGGGGGAGAAGGGAACGGACTCTGATCGTGCCTGGAAGGTAGAGCCACCCCCGGGGTTTGCCGGCGCGCGTGGGACGTGGCCCTGGACCTCCTCAGATCCTCGGGACCCCTGCGGCGCGTCCCCCTTCCTCCCGTAGAGGGTGTCCCGCTCCGCCAGAGTCCCACCAGCCTCCCCACCCGCCCCCATGTCCGCGGACCACCCGCCTGCCACACACGGACGCTGTTTCCCCAACATTTAATTCGCAAGAAAGTCCCATGAACAACAACGAAAAAGCTCATGCCGGAGGAACACAGGAGAGGACTGGGTTTTCCGGGGCCGGGAGACGGGGCCAGATGCCCCGGAGGAGGAAGAGGGAGGAAGGGGTAAGGCACTGCCGCCTCGGCCACTCGGGGCGGGCGCAGGACAGGGCAGCGGGGGGGCCCGGTGCGGACAACACTGAGAGAGCTGGGCCGTGGCGCCGGGAGCAGGACACGTCCAGAGCCCCAGGCCCACGCGGGGCCCTGGCACGAGCCCCCTCAGAGGTCCCCGGGCAAAGGTCCGGGCAGACTCCCGACAAGTCTGGAGGGGACGCCGTGACCCAACCTCGGGGAGACCCCTGGGCGTCGCCGCAGCACCGGGGCGCCCTCCCCCCACCCCTTCAAGCGCAGCGGGTGCCGCGGCCCCCTGCTGGCAATGGGTGGGGCCGGCCGCGCCCAGGGGGAGGAGCCAGAGGCGTGGCCAAGGCCAAGGCCGACCCCCTCCCGAAGGGCAGAAGGTGCGCGAGGCTGGCCGCATCCCAGAGAAGGGACCCGTGGTGACACCCGGACACGGTGAGGTGCAGATAAATTAAATAAATACGTGGTTGGGGGCATAAATAGCAAGGGGGCGACAGGGGCTGTCACGACACCGGGGCACGAGGGCAGGAGGGCGGGGGTATTGCTGCTGCCGGGGTCACGGGGCTCGGTCCCGTCGCCCCCGCCCCCACGCAGGGCCCAAAGGAAGGCACTAGTGAAGGGGGCCCGGCTGTGCCGGGGGCCCGGGGGCCCGGTG